ATATCTTTTCATACCTAAACTTTGTTTAAGCAAAATCCTAACCCGAAAAGCTAACGAGAGCTATAAATCAATATAGCCAACCAAAATAGTAATCATAAAATCTTCGCTTTATAATAACTCATAAAAGAAGTTTAACATTTACGAGCATTCAAGCTTATTAATTGCAATTCTCTTACCTTTAAGGTCTAGTGACGTTGTGAATAAGTTCACCTTATCAGAACTTGGATGGTGAAGAGGATTCTTATTAGCTTTAAGCTTATATTAGTTAAGCCTAAAGTCTTATCTTTTTTTCAAAACACCTTAAAGTCGTCAAATCTCACTTTTTTAACCTATCATGGCCATGTTGTGTKGTCCCCAACCACGCTAATCAAGTCGAAAATTGTCCTGATATTCTCAGCAGAGGTGCATACATCCATCGTAAAGCGTATCAAAAAGAATGCAGTGAAGTTACAATGCCAAACAACCATCCAAAATGGCGGCGCTTACCTCGAGTTGACACGCGCAGCGAAAAGATCCTGCTCCTCCCCACCCCRTACAGGGGAAGTTTTAGTCAATTTTAGTTTTTGTAATGTTTGATCGTGGTATTTTAGCAGAAATTGATAATTGGAAGTCGTGTTTTGATTTTTATTATTTATGAAAAACAAAAAACTCGAAATCAAAGCCAACTTTCTATTTTTGAGGTGTACAAAAATTGAGGAACAGGGAATTTTCGACTTTCGAATAGAATGAAAATCGAAAATTAACAAAACATAAATCAATTTTTGCATTTGACTTGGGGATACAAATTGAATGGACGGACAATACACGGGTCCGGGGGTTTTTCGTCCATTTGATTTTTAATTCGAAAAGAAAATTGAAAAAGTATCCCAAAATCAATTTTGCATTTTTAATTTTTGTATTTTTTTGTTCCATTTGATTTTTAATTTGAAAAGAAAATTGAAAAAGTATCCCAAAATCAGTTTTGCATTTTTAATTTTTGTATTTTGTTGTTGTTTTTTTCACACTTTCTTGTAGATTTGAATAAAATGATTGTATTTTAAGATTATTGTGAAAGGAAAAGGAAGAATGCTTTAATTTTTGAAATCCTTTAAAACAAAACTCGAAAATCCCCCAGTAGGGAAGGACTGCTCGCTCAGTTTCGCTTCCGCCTAAGGCAGGGAGGGGTCAGGCAGTTTGTAGCCAGGTTGGGCTTCCTGTGGTATACAAGGCAACAAAATGGCGGCTTTTCGCAATTCGCCAAGGTTCTACAAGATACTCACACTTTAAAAGAAAACGTTTTCATCTAATTTGATATCTCGACTCAATTACAAGTGGAAAAGCTCTGTTCGACAAGCAAATGGAGACTTGGAGATCGCAACTCAACTGATGCTTGATCGTTTTGTGACTTGTTTTATCCAGACACGAATTCAGGATCGATAAGTTAAGTTAATGCTACATTAGCTGCAATAGCTATATATAAGCTTATGCCATACTAGTACCTTAAGTCTACACCGAGACAACATGCAAGAATCAAGCCCATCTATGCATTCCATTCCCGGATAACAAACAAGTAAACAAAACTCAACTGAGAACAATTTTATTTTACTTCACAACTAAATTAAACTTCAT